GAGCTAGAGATGGATTGTGCATAAAAAGCTGGGGCTCTTTAACAGAAATGAATAATGCGTATGGAAAAATGGAAAGGAAAACTATGGTCAGAGGGCAAGCAAACTGCTGACCTACATGCACACCTGAGTGAAGTCTGATTTGGTTGGTCTGTGTCATGTTTTAAATGGAAGAGCAAGATATTTTGTAAAAAAACCAAACCAAACCAAACCAAAACAAACCCAAAAAACCCCAAAAACTACCAACCAACCCAAAAATCCCAACCTCTACCACCCTGTATCTGATGCTGTAATAAAAAGATTGCAGCCTCTCCTTTCATATGATCGTAGATTCATAGACTCATAGAATGGTTTGGTTGGAAAGGACCTTAACCATCTGGTTCCAACCTCTCTGCCATGGGCAGGGACACTTTCCACTAGACCAGGTTACTCAAAGTCCCATCCAACTTCGCCAATCCTTACTCAAAGCCATTAAGTTTTATTTTTCTTCACTTTCCTCTTGAGAATAGATATCTTTTGCTGCTAGGAACCCTAAGTTTAGCTCAACATCCATTAAATTTAGACTGGGGAAAAAAAAAAAAGGCATGTTTACCAAAGTACTAGAGAAATGGAAGAGGAAGTAATTACAGTCCTTGAATCTGAAGACACTCTTGGTTTGTGTATCTTGACTTGTATAAAAAAAGCACCAGCTATGGAAAAATGGGTATCTGAGAAAATAAAGGAGATGAGTAGCTATTAAAATCCTCTCAGCACCTAAATGAATACTTTCAAGATGAATGCTTCATGAGGATAAGAAACATTTTAAAAACTGCGTTCACCATCACAATTGTAAGATTACAAGACAGCCTGACTGTAGTCAGTAAATGCCTACCACATTCTGGTCTGTGCATAGTGTGAGTATATCATCTGACCATAGATTAGTTTTGATTCAGAAACGCTAGCAGAGTTATACCCCGTGCTACATGGTTGTTCATCCAGAATTTCCTTGCAGCCTCTCTCTGTGAGGTCCCACGAAAGGCAGCTATCTTCAGATCACCCTTCCGCCCTAGTACGGTTCTGCTTGTGGTCTGAGCAAGTGCCTGCTTTTAAGGGAGATCCTGCTAAATGCTGTTAGAAACTGCATGAGTATGTGTTTATTTGCTATGCTTTGGGTGCAATATTTCTGTATTTTATTGTATTATTTCAGTATCGTCTTATCCTGAAATAATCTATTCCAAGCCAGAAAAGCGTCCTGACAAGCCATGATGTGTGAGCATGGGTTGCACCATGCCTGGGCTCAGGAGGAGCAGGAGGGGATGGAGGAGCCGGCGGGACTCCAGACAGCCTCAGCACCTTGCCAAGAAGGGTTGGCGGCACTGGAAAAGAGGCCACGACTCGTGCAAGGCGGTGTAAGCCTTTAGTGGCTGCAGTTCCAAGTCCACACGCCGCTTTTCATTCAGAGCACCTGTATTTTGCCTTAGCAACAGTGAAGCGCATCCTTCATTTGACCCCCCCGCCAAGTGCTGTATTTAGCAGTTTTTTAGGCATCTGTCTTAAAGCGCGCTCTAATAATAGAGTTTGCAAGTAAAAATGACAGAAGTAGCAAAGGAGAACTTGGACATTACTACTGCTATGGTTGTGCTTTATGAACTAGTATATACTGCTTGTTTGAGCACGCCAGGAGCCCGTGTTCAAAAGAGACGATGTGTGAACTCAGACCTAGGGTTGTAAGAGGTGATTGCAGAACTGTTGCGTTGTGGGCAGGATATATTGCTTGGAGCAATGTGTTTCAGGAGTCTGTCAGCCAGAGATGATAAGGGGAAATGAAGATGAGAGTGCTTTCTGGGAAAGTAAACCTAGAAAGGAGAATAAACCTGTCAAAGAGGAAAAAAAATCTAGCAATTGTTGGTGGGAGGAAAAGTAACCGGGAAGGGTACAGAAGGAAAAAAGATGGTGATATGCAGCTGAAAGAGATAAGAGACAGACAAAGGGTGAAAAAAAAGGGAGAAAGGGGAAGAAGAGAAAGACTTCAGAGATTTACGGGCATTATACACCTGAAATTTATTGGTTTGCCACTTGTCTGCTATATCTGGGAAACAGTTTGCCTTTAGGTACTGCCCATTTGTAGAAGCAGACTTTTAGGATAGGATTTCTCCCTCCAACCCCTATAAACTAATGTTAAAATAAGGAAACTTGATGGGTTCTTTTATTTTCATATGTTTATTCCACCCACATTTATTGTTGAAGATACATTTCCACTAACAGCAGTATCTGAATTAAAGGTGCTGGGAGGCTTCCATGACTCTCTAGCAATGAAAGGGTGACATTCAGAGCCAGGAATGATTTCTGCAACGTGTAGGTCAGTGAAAATGGCATTAAGATGCATGCAGGTTGCAGAAGGGCTGAAATTTCCTGTGCTAGGAGACGAGGGCAGAAGACGACAAAATGACTGGATTGCAATATTGCATTTTAAAGGCTTCATTCCTACTCCTTGCTGGAATTTGGCTTAAGGCTCGTGACTTTAGGAGCTTGGTCAAAGAGTTAATGCATTGGTTTAAAAAGAAAAAAGGTGCGTAGGGGGCAATGGAGGGGAAGAGTGACGCATGCAGAGATGAGCCTTGGAGAGAAGGAAACGTGTCTGTTCTGGCACATTTCTAACCCTTCCCTGATTGTCGTCCGACCACCACTCCATCAGGATCTTCTTCTCCTGTCTCCCTTACTTCATCACCTCCAAATTGTGCTCCTGATAGTTACGAGCGGGGAATCAATCAGAGACTCTGCTCCTTTCAGCCACTGGTACTGGAGGCGACGGGGTGGCTGTGATCTGATTAAGGCATTGTTGAAAATAGCTTTTGCCTTTCATCTGAAACCACTATCCTCGGACTAAATCTGTGGGAGCAGGTGAACAGTGCACGTACTGCTACACGGGCTCTACAGGTACTGGACAATCTACATCTACAAAAAGGAATTTGCCTTTTAAAGTGCATACACAGCTGTGAAGTAGGCTGTCTCACTATACAGCGCAGAGTCAGCAATATTTGCATCCAGTATACTATTAAAATGTGATTTTTTTTTTACTTAAACAACAATTTTTAAACTATGTCCTATAATAAAGCCAGACTTTCAAAAGGTATAAAATACGTCACAAATATTTTTTCTGCTCTCACTGTTCCACATAAATCCAAAAGCAGCTACATGTGTTCCTTCAGTTTCAACATGCACGACGGGTTTGTAGAGGGTCTCATCTTGCATCCTTAAGTGAAGTAAAATTTTCATTTCATTATTATGAATTAAATCCCATAATTTAATTCGGTGGGTATTTGCAAAAGGTCAGATCAAAGTCAGGAGTCTCAGCACCATTCCAGGAACCGTGCTACTTTATTAAAGTGGCAGGCAAAACGTTGTTTCTATGGATTGTGCATAAATAGTGTTTAGAATTTTTTTTTTTAATTTCCTGTCTGTGGACAAACTGAATGCAAAAAAAAAAGCCTAAGTTGTGTGCTAAGTTGTATGGGTAAACTGTTTCAGGCAATAACTGAATGCAGAACATAGATCTGGGTGCCTGGAACTCAAATTATATTTCCAATTTAAAATCATTCTGTAAAGAGATCAGATTTTCCTGATTAAAAACCTTGGGAGGGGTTATATTTAATATCCACGTCTACATTCCACGCTGTGCTCAAATTTAATCTCTGTCTAATAATGTTTTTAAATGATATTGATTCAGCTAGGAGATAGAAGCATCTCCAACGCGATATTTTCACAAAACAAAATAAATAATATAACTTCTCCTGCCGAGCCCCACAGAACAAAGGGCATGACTTGAACACCCACACTCACCTGTGCGCTGCACAGCAAAGAGACTGGATGCCTTGCTCAATAAAACAGTGGTAATTACGTCATTCAGAGTTTTTTTTCCTATGTTGAGTCTGTTGACAAATGTGTGTAGTTGGAGAAAATAGTTGTTCCAAAGTTTAGAAAAACTATATTTTCTGACAAAGTTTACTCTTTGTGTCTGCTCTTTCTACCTTTCTACATCCAATGGTTTCTATTTCTATGTTGGCAGTACCATGCTAGGAGTGACTGTGAGTATATTTGTGAAATGTATGACTAACACGGGCATTGTCCTACGTCTTCAGTCCTGTGTCTTCTGTAAAATCCCCTCTTTGGTTTTGCCCCAAGCATTTATCCCTGTGCTTCCCAGTGTGAGAATTTCCACACGAGCCTTTAAGGGTCATCTCAGACCCTGCCACTTCATGTGTGGGTGCTTGCAACTGCACAGAAGAAAGCCACTTCTTTGTGTTTGTTCTATGGGGTTTATTTAAACCAAAAATACATTAAATTATGTTAATTTAGATTATTGCCTAAGTTAAGAATGCATTCCATTCACAAACTCACCAATATTTATTTTCATTTTATTAAAAAAAAAAGATGAAATTATTTTACTTAAAAACATTATTTTCACATGAACAAGCCCATTCTCCCCTCCCCAAAATTCTTCTTTTAATTGACTGTGACACCAAAATGATCTCAACGTGTAATTACCTCAGCTAAAATAATGTGAAAAAGTACTACAAATGTAACTGAAAGATTTTGATTATGAGGCATAGTTATCGAAGTGAAGACTGCAATACATGTATTCTTGTTTGAGGAGAATCTGTTAGTGTCTTGGAAATTGTAAGAGATACTCAGAACTGCAGCCAAAAACAGAGCGAAACTGTTAAAGGACACCAATTTTTACAGGAGAATTTATGACAAATAGAGCATTTTCTAAGGCTTTGTATAAAGTCCCTTATCTTCAAAGAGTCCTCTTCCTCCTTTGTACTTTTGAAGGGAAAGTCATATAAAGCTCAGACAGTGATAGCATCCATTTCCCATCAAATTCTCACTGTGTTTCCTGTTAGCTGAAGTGTTTCATTACCTCAGAACTAGATCATGTTCAGCTGATGCCACAGTCACTTTCCAAGACCAGATGATAGATACTTGAATTTCTGTAGGCCACTCGTTGCCTCTTCTGACGCAGCTCAGGGGGGTGCAGATGCGTTCATGTGCGTGTAAGAACATTTGGAGAGTGAAGCCCTCGTTGTCTTCCCCTCCTCTTCATCACCAACCTCTCCCCGTATTGCAGGAGGCTTTTGCTTTGCACAGCAGGTGAAAGTGGCTAGAAAACCCATGCGGAAACGCTTGTTCATAAAGCAGTATATGATAGGGTTCACACAGGCAGAAGTGTAGGACAACAAGTGGATGAAGGAGATGGGAGCCCCCGAGAGACGCTGGTCTGCTGAAGTGGTATCAAACGCGCGCCAGGCATTGACACTGAAGATGGGAGTCCAGCAAAGGAAGAACAAAACCACGATCACCATCAACATACGGATGACGAGTTTCTTGGCCATTAAGTTGGCAGAAGAACTGCTGCTTCTCACCCTATCTATTTTGCTATGGCTAGTAGCAGAGAGCTGTTGCAATGGCATTTTCCTTTTTCTTTTGGTTTTGTTGAGGTAGCATCCATCTCCATCCTCATATTTGGCACTGCAGGTACTTATTTTTCTTTCTGTACATATAAATTAGTGCTTAAATAGTTGGCAAAATATCTATGAATGGTGATTCAAAATAAAAAACTAAGAATGGAGTCTAAGTCTAAATAAATAACATAATTCATGACTGAACAAGTGCTGCGAAAAAAGCACTGGCCTACTTCTGCGTCAGTCGTGTATCAGCTGCTCTGTCTCCACTACCTCCCAACATTCTCATGTCTTAACTCTATACAAATTGATGCAAAAGATGTAAGAACACAGTTTGCTCAAGTATTCACTGAAGATAGTTTTCAAAATTATATGCTTCTATCGTAATTTGACAATTTTTATTGTGATGTTTATTGACAGGAAGGTCCTCATCCATGACCAGAAAAAAAATCTTGGTGTTTCTATAATAAGCAAATTAGACATTCACTGTATCCTGCCCAGTCTTTGCAAACAAGCCATAGGTGAGGAATTACTGGCTAGCGAATAATGGAATAACTTCAGTCAACAAGTGCATCTGGCAGGTTCACAAACATAACTGACCATAATGATAATTTTTGCAAATAGAAAATTTTGCTTTTAGTAGCCTCAAGATGACTGTATCTTCAACTCTAACTTAAAAAAAACCCCAAACCTAAATGTATTGTTACCTCGTGAAGATCTTCTCTGACTGGCATCAAATTTTATTCCTCTGTAGAGTTCCAAAGAAATTAGGCCATATGCAACCATCATTATAATCCCAGGTACAAGAAAGAGTATGAGTAGCAGGAAAGTGTACCTAAAGAATCAAAAGACAAACTGAGACCAGGGAACACCACAAACCCAGAAAATCTCCTTTTTCTTCAGGTGAGAATTGGGGGGAGGGGGGCAGGATTTCAAGATTTTTCTGAAATTTTTTTCAGAAAATATGTGATACAAATGATACAAAGCATCATTTTGACAGCTCTGGAAACTAGAAACTTCCCATCTCTTCTCCTCCTTCTTTCCCCGGAAAAGTACAGCAGGAACAAAGCTATCATGGCTGCAAAACATCTGTCACCCGAGCTCCGCAGGCCCCGAGGAGATGGGCGCTCCCGTAGTGGTGAGAGGGGGCAGAAGGTCTCTCTGCCCATGAGCCAGGCTCCCTGCTGTAACCAGACGAGCATCTTTCTGAAACCCTGCAGCTTTCAACGGTGTAAAAATTGGCTTGCAGAAGGCAAACGAGCAGCTACTGATTCTCAAAGGAGCCCCTGGTACTGGCAGTCACTACTTCAGGGAGACCCAACTTGCCAAGGGTTGTGGCACACGTGGGCAGAGACAGAGCAGCCACGACCTGGACTTTCATCCCTGCGGCCGTGCAGAGTCCCCAGGGAGGGATTCCAGGCCTACAACCCCTTTGCTAAAGGAAGCAGCTTTTATTTGGTTGACCATCTGATATACTCTCCTAGGCAGCTGCTCTAATGGGATTACAAGTTGGGGAAATAATTCTGTTTAAATGCGTTCACGAGCCTACGTCCCTTCTGCTCCCTGGGACCTTGGTGCAAACTCACTGACACACCTGGGAATCTGCAATGACACCATGGAGATGAGAATTTTGCCCTGCACCCTCTCTCCTAATCTGTACTCATACTGCCAAATACCTGAGACTACTGAAAAGCATTAATACAAGTTTACGATGTTTGTGCATACACCATACTGAAGTGGTACATACTTTAATCTTGTTCCCAGTTCCAACTGACCTTCAGTATCCAAAAAAATTTTACATCTTCTCAGTGCCAGTTAAAGTCTTTAGTTATCGTGCAAGGACACAATGTCTAACTAATATTGCTGCTTGATAGTGCTACTATTTACTTACTCTGCCTGGACATGTAGGACTTGGAGCACTGTCTCTCCCCTCGTCTCTCTGCCCCTATTCTATATAAGTGACCAAAAGGGCATTTGCAACCTCTCCAAGTTCTTATATACTACTCTGCTTCAGAGGACCTTCAGACAAACAAATTAACAGGCAAGGCATCACACAGAGGGGTGCATCTGCATTTCTCACAGATTAATCAAGGATTTCTCTCAAATATTTAAGGTTATGTATAAATGAGTGAAAGCAGTATTCCTACTTGAAGAGTGACAGATGCTTTCTTTACAGTGACACTAGGGGCTTAGCTGACCATAGTGTGAGAATCATTGCCATGTTGGGTATCATTCCTATGACAAGGGAAAAGTCATATAAGTGTCAAAATGTAAGCAGCTTAAAAATATGATTTCTTTTTACTCTTAAATAAGCACGATAGAAGTGTAAATGTTTGCTGAAGGTTAATACTTGATTTTCAACAGGCTTAACGCTACCACGAAATCCTGTTTTCCACCAGATAATTATACATTTGCTAACAGTCAGTTATGTCTTACCAAGACTGCTGAATGACATCACTTGGCCAAAGGAGCCGACACATATTTGCTGTGGTGTTGTTATACTTGGTAAAAGGTACCAGTTTGCTGTAAATTGGGTATGGTGACATGATAGTAAAGGAAACACACCAGGTAGCGGCAATCACTTTCAAGGCATGAGATTTTGTCTGCCAGACCCTGGACTGCAGAGGTTTGCAAATGGCGCTGTATCGCTCCAAAGATATGGCAACCAGGTTGAATGTAGATACACTTACAGAGACACCTACATATATAAAATAAAGAAAAAGGTTATTCTCTTGTTTTAAATGTTCATGTTATTTTCAAATAGTCTTGCTAACTTCCTGTATGCATATAGAAAATTCAAAATATAGCAAACTATTTATAAGCTAAAATATTTGTAAATGTCATGCTGATTAAGTCAGCAAAGAATGTGTGGGCAATGGGTCTGGGTCTCCAGACTGGTGGTCCTGCTCTGCACTTCTCTAACTCCAGAAGTCCAAGATAAAAGATTCATTCTGTCAAACCATGAAATTCTGGTAACAGGGAAAGAAGACACTTTTCCTCCTAATTCTTCTCTTTGCTACTGTGGTTTATCCACTCCACTAATTGCACTGAAATTGAAACAAGCATTTGAAATCAGTGGGATTATGCTGTTAATTACTCTTTTAACACAGAAGTTCATAGTTCCTCTTCCATTGTTTTAATTTTTTAAGTGTCCTGCTTGACTGGTGATCTGATTTTCTCATTCAAGAGAATTAAATGTTATCACTTTTTAAATTATATGCTAATAGAGTTACAAAGCAGAAGAAATGAAGTCCTGAAGCAGAATCTTTGTCTTTCAAGTGCACTTAACTTCTCCTGTTCATATATTATAAAATTCAATGCAGTGATCTGTATTTCTGTCACTGAGGTACCCCAGTTTATCACTGCGAGATTATAAATATTTCTTCTTAACTTTGCCACAAACTTTTCTTTCAGTGAATGAGCTTTCATTTAATAGTCTTTGTGAATGTTCTGATGTGGGTAAAAATATAAAATGCTAATATCTTTACAGTTTGCTTTACAAAAATTATCTGTAATTTTAAATAAGTCTTCCTACATCTTAAAATTAAAAATTAAGCATAGGTGGTGCAATGGATGTCAGTGTCTGTTTGTCAATTAAAGCCTCTGTTAACCTGAACTGCTAATGGGAAATATCCACATGCTGACTCTTAAAATAAAACACTTTCATAATGAAAAACTTCATGTTCGAAAATATTTCACTGGATTTTTTTTTCCAGAAAGTAATTTACACAGTGTGAAAGAGAAAGATGACAATGCTTCAGTATTATTTTATGGTATTTATGGCAGCAATTCATTATAATTGTTTAAACATGGCCTTTAGTTTTATTGGTTTTATCTACAAAAAGATGTTGATTTCCCATTCGCACACTTTAGGTGTTTATTTTCACATTACATCAAAGTTCTCAAGGGCACGGGTTGAAAGAGGACCTAAGGTTTCTGTAACTAACTGAGGGTCTCCCAAGGTAGCAAAAACTTTACATAATGTTCTCTTTTTTTTTTTTTTTAAGAAACAAGCAAACGCACAGGAAGTATTGGAAATGAGACAAAACCACTTATACAGACATACGTAATCCAGGCATTTTGAAAGTCCTGGCTCCACAACCAAAAGGGATACGGCAAGGCATATAAGAGTGATGGTTCTTAAAGTCAGCCTCTAAAATCTGTATCTGTATTCTCTGGTCTCTTGGTGAGATCTGATCTTACCTGGTCTGTTCTCAAAAAGTGCTTGTTCTAACTTCCAGCTCCTCAAATGACACCTACTTTGGCCTATTTTTTTTCATGTATCCCTGCTACCAAAAAATCTGTGGGCAAAATCTGCCCTTAGTGAGGGCTGTACAACCCTGTCATTTCTGATGGGTGAACTGCTAATAACTCTGTCGGTGACCAGTAAGCAAGTGCAGGTTCCTCATTAAAGCTTGATCATGCAACATACTTCTCACTTAACCTGATCCAACACTTCTGTATGTCGTTAAAATTAAGTGGGTGCCTCTGTGTTTTTCTCGTTCAGACTGAGGAAACCAGAACCATGAAGATTCGCACTACAAAGTTGTTTCTTCATGATTTTGGTAACTGTTCATTGGCAGATGGAAGCAATCAGCTTTTTACTGGTCTTTAATGAACTTCTCACCTATCTCATTAGTCAGTCTTCAAAATAAGTATAAACTGCCAAGACTTACCCATGAAATAAGTGGCAGTTTTGCAAACAGCACTACCAAAAATAAAATCTTTCAGCAGGTTGGGAATGAGGGTGAATGGCATACAGAAAAGGCAGAGCATCAGGTCGCTGACTGCTAGTGACAGCAGAAACGTGTTGGTGACTGTTCTCATCCGTTTGTTTCTTATCAGCACTGTAATTACCAGAATGTTCCCCAAAACACTGAGCAGAAATATCAAACAATACAGCAGAATCCGAATTATCTGATGCAAATCTGAAAATTGTCACAAGGAAAAATAAGTTATGCAGTATACAGCTCATAGACTAGTATTATATGTTTAATCCTTTAATCAAATAGTAAAAGCCTTTCTGTATTCAGTTTTACTAAGGTTTATGTCTTTACATCAATGGAAAATCAGTGGAAGTTCTGAAATTCTTAAACTTACTCTGAACTACTTGAATTGTATAACATTAAAATACAATACATGCAATACAATGTACATTTGAAGAGCCAAATACAACTTCTTAAAAGCATGTTCTGCTCATGCTGCTTAGTGTGCACCACTCACTCACCGTGCCAGTTTCTCCTTTATGCAGAAGTCAGAAATGATACAGCAGTCAACAGTATTTTAATATATGGATTTTTTTTTTCAGCCTCAGTGTGCTATAATTTCATATTTAATCACTTTCATACAAGGCATCAGATCAGATAACTCCATTGTTATTGAATTCCTCAAAGAGTAAAAATCATGTTTCTCCAAGTCCTTAGCAAAGCTGTTTACATTTTGTGCTTGACAGTGCTACTGTTTCAATTTTCCATTATACTCAAATTCTGTTCTAGCTGAATTTTTAACTTGGAAAACCAGCACATACGAAATTCTTTCCTGTCTGTTTCTCATCCTAACTTACCAGTAAGCACTTGATTTTGCACTCACTCACAGAAAAAGCCTTGTGTAGCTGTTTCTTTCCATAGTATCTCTACTTCCAGCTAGAACTAAAACTGCCTGAAAAAAAAAATCTGTTTTTCTATACATACCTTTAGAAGGATAAGGTGGATCATCCACACAGAAAAAAGTGTCATTTTCAAAGATGATATCACACAGGAAAGCAGTAAGATTGGTACTGTTCCCGAGGAAGCTAGCATCAAGTATTTCCATTCTTCAGTATCCACAGGTTAGCTTTGATGAAGAAGAGGGTGGGTTTGTAACTATCTGCCCATTCTTTCAGTAAACAAACACATTTCTGAATGAGATCTTCAGGAGAAATAGAAGAGAGGCAGTTGTGCAAGGAAGCTCTTCTAACTCTCCGTCAGGAGCACCCGGCACACAGAGTCCTGCTCAGGCTGAACAAGATTTATTCCAGGGACACACAAAGCAGTTCAGAAAAGCAAAGCATGCGTGCACATACACGCTCACACGTATGCATGCACACACACACACACACACACGCACACACACACACATCTCCTCCAGTACTTTTTTAGATCCACCCTTTTCTGTTACTGGACTACTGTTGGGATTATAAACAGGCTAGAAAAAGATTACAGCATTAACCCCTTGCAAGATTGCTTCTGTTCACATCTCTGCAATATTTCTCAGAGGGAGTCTGTTATGCTACGGCCAATAAATCACAACCAGTGAGTGACAAGAGTGATAAATCCATCTCTCAACCAACAACACTTAAAATGGTAAGAGTAGCTGACTAAAAGGGCAGAGAAGAGAAAAACATAGTGAAGATTTTGCATGCCTTACATGGAAACAATTCTTATCTTCGTATTTTCCAGAGTAGACTGAAGACTGGGTACACTCACAAAAACAAGAGCTGTTACATTTATCTCATTTGGTGAAGTGCTAACTTCATACAAAAGCGCTGTACATGCCTGATCCAAAACCCAACAAGTCAACAGAAAGACTCACTAATTTCAATGTTCTTGGGTCAAACCTTATGATAGTACGATATTAGAATTGTCAATTAATATAAGCAGAAGCCTACACATTTTCTCAGTGCAAGGACTTGTATAAGACTTGAATACAAACTTGATGAACTGAAAAACTGTGACACATTAGTTATGTATTAACATAAAACACAACGATCTTGATTGTTTAAAAGAAACCCTTTCTTCTGAGTTCTGCTTTTTGAATACATAAACATCATCCCCTCTGGTGTTTTCACAAAGTCATTGGCTTTTAACTTCCAGTATACAGCTTGTTTACGGCCAAAAATGTAAATTAATATTATAAATGAATCCCTGCTATAACTCAATGGAAAATAGATCTCACATTTAAAATCTCTTCTACTTAAAAAGACAGAGTAATAACAGGTTCCTAATAACAAGCCTGGATCCCTTAAAGTTGATATACACATACTGCAAGGCCTGGATTTCTTTTCCAATCTCGCCAGCTTTGCTTTACAGTGCCATTAACGGGAATGCGTACGTAGGAGAGTAGATTGAAAAGTTACATCTAAAGTTCTAATCTCTAAATGATCTTTTCTTTAGCATATTAATTATATTTTTTCCATTTCTTGTACAAATTTTTGCAGTTTTTAAAAACCTAGGATAAAACGACTCAATCCAGAATCACTCATTCTAGTTTATTTTTGCACTTGTGAACGTCAAAATGGGAGAAAATCATATGAAGGAACAAAGTTAAAATATGTTTCCATTTCTGCAGTGACTGAGCATTAAGCTTGAACATTAGGCACCAACATCTCTGAAACTCGATTTTCTCTTAGCTGACTAACTCAGCTTTAAATTTTTTATATGTTTTCTATGATTAAATTGATGGGTGTTATTAATCAACCACTCTATTAAATTACAAACATTGCCTATTTAATTAAACATAGAAGATTCTTTTTGTTGCTTTAGTTTTGAATTTATTTGTAATTATTCCAGTATTTCCTGAACATTTTCTCTGACAATTAAAAATTGTTATAATATCCCAAACAGCTGAAATGGCAACCAATACAGGTGCTGATATACAGGAAAAGTACCAGATGCTTTTTGGAAAGGGCTACTGAACTTAGGTTGCTACTTTGCTCTTCTTCATAGACAACAGCAAGATGCAGACTAGTTTAAGCTGTCCAAACTTCCAGTTGACAACTTCTCTTTCCTTTGAAAATTACTTTCTACAGAAGATAAATCAAGGACAAACCAACTCAGATAAAATTTTGTAGCCTATGTTTGCCTAAGGTGTCCTTTACACTTGAGATACTGATCCTGCTTTCCATATCTGTATGCAATTAACTTCAATGAAGTCTTTAAATTTTAGAGAATTTTTTTTGTCATGAAGTAGCATTCAATCTGAATGATTTTGAACTTTAAGAAACCTTTGTGTATCAAAAGAAGTTATTTTAATTATTTATAATTATTATAATAGTCTTACCTACTGCAAAGCACAGGCTCTGTAATTGTGTTTAGCAATCCCTTTACTGAATTAAAGAGCCTGTAATGGAGTCCGAGTCTTTCTGTAAGCAAGATGTCAAATTGTTGTTCTGGGCTTATTCTTAATGTGGAAGAGATCTTTCTGGATTCCTGGCACCTTCTATTAGATCTGCATTAGAGAAATGATTGGATATGTTTTCAGTTGCAATTGTGTTGAATGGCTGATATTAGCAGTATTTTTATTTATCATAATATTTCTTTACCATAGATATGTTACTATTTGGGGTTGGATTCTCCCTCAATTAATTTTTAATCTACAGTTTTTATACTGTTTATACCACTGTACTTTTGGAGTGAGGGGTTAATTGCTGGTGTTCTGATGAGTTACAGCTTGGTTATTCCTGTACCTTGAGGAAGCAGCATTACACTAAAGAGAAAGATTTTTTTTTATTCATGTTGTCAAATATAGACTGAGACCACACACTTGTCATCATCTGCTGGGCTTCCAGACTTGCTAAACCGGATTGCATAGAGTCTTCCATGAAGTCTCCAGGAGCTGGTTAAAAAGAAGAGAAGAAATCGAGTGAATGAAGGTCTGGGGGAGACATAGTTAGTGATCAGGAGGGAAGACAAGATTAGGGAGATCATTAGGGGGATCATTGCAGTCAAAAAGATTACACTAGGGCTATTGTCTCTCTCTGTATCATGAAAGACAGTGAACTATCATTCTGAAGTTAACTTCTCTGTACCTGTCATGATTTTGTCATATCTGAAGAACCTCAGGTTGGTTATTCATTACTTGTAAACAAGTGGTTTCATACCTCCCATGAGCATCGCGGCCCAGATCTAAAATCTTTTCTAGTTATTCTACAGTCTTTCATAGATGCTAACACATAAAGATGAACCAAGGATTTAAATAATGGCATATTGAGTTTTTGTGTTGTTTTTTTCTCTGTTCCTTTCCTAATAATTCCTGTAATCCTATTTGCTTTTTTTATGACTACTGAGAATTGAACTGATGTTTTCATGGAAGAACCTACCATAAGTTCAGTAGTTTCTTTCCTGCATAGTAATATCTAGTTTAGAGCCTTACACTGTTCAGGAAAAATTATAATTGTTTTCTGCTTTGCAGTGATTTCTATTCTCCCATTTTATCAGAAAGAGCTTTCTGCAGTTCTTCAAAGTCAGTTTTTGCTTCTCCTTTCCTTGAACGACTTAGCGTTAGCAGAAAACTCTTTTAGCTCGCCCCTGATCCCATTTTCTGGAGCATTTATGAGAGATGAACAGCTGTAGCTAAGCTTCCTGTGGGGCTCCATTCATAACTGCCTTCCACTCCTACTTTTCGTTCCTACTTTTTATTTCCAGTCTTCTAATCACGTTGTTCCCTGTTTCACTCCAGACTGATGGTCTACTTGTCCACAATGTTAAAAATTGCTCCTGAACTCCTACTTCCATGACTCTCCTAACTCTTCTGGCAAGCAAATCCATGCCAACTTTGCTCCCTCAGCCCAGATAAGTCTTCCAGGACTATCTGTGAACATTGCTTGTCATGTGTCAAATCATCCCAGGCCTTAGGAAGCTCCACCTAGAGAAGCAATGAAGAAAAACACCAGGAAGTGATACAGCAGCTCAGTGATGTGCGTTGTGCCCACAGCATGACGGAATAATGCTTTAAGTTTAAGAAACAAAACTCAAAGCCTGAGGCACACATGCAAGTCATTGGAAAAACTCAGCATGTATTCTACTGAGTTATTAAGACCTTTACCAGCATTACCACACCTGAATTACCAGTTACTCACAGGTCACTGGCTCTCTGTCCACTTGATGCTCATGGATGCCAGGAGCTTGACTTCCAAGTAACTGCTTCTGCCAGCCTAAGGAGAGAGTGCCTTTTTGATGACTTTTTATTTTTTTCCCCCTAGGGAGAGAAGGAAATCAGACCTTTCCATTTTACTTTCACAAAGGTAGCCCAGAGCCATGTTGGCATTGCAGCTCACTTTTTCTGGATGTGCAAATTTAGATTACATTTGTCAGGCTTATTGTCCTGAATTACATGTGAGCAGATGGCTTCATCCCTTGCCATTCATGTCTTCCCAATGCAAGCCCACTGGTGGTGCCAGTGGTGGTGCCAGGCTGTGTGTAAAAAAGCCTGCCATGACCATGCCACATGGAAATCCTGAACTGTCAGAGCGCAGTGTGTTCTTGTGGAGGACTTGGCATAATGTTCTTTGCCCCTGAAAATCCTGGACGCAGCTGGTCATCAGTGGCCCATACCACTGCATGGTCCCACTAACCCCCTTGCTCTCAGTGGGGTGAGAGGCTGCCCAGGGCTGTAGGTCAGTACAAAAAAACACTGTAATGCCAGTGCACGTCTCTTGCCTCAGTCTCAGTATGTGGGAGGAGGTGAAGGACCAGCTTCCCCAGGACAGTAGGAGCCCCTCACCTAGCCCCATCCCAAGGGATGGGCCCACTACAATATCAAGACATGCTTCCTAAGCACATGCAAGAGGGCTGAAGCCAATGAGGCCAGCAGCCATGGCTGGAGGCTTCAAGTGGTCAGCAGAAATGCGAAAAGGAAAACTGCCTGGGATGCAGCCTACTTTGTGAATCCTCTCGGCACAGTCACGTCCTGCGCAGACAGCAAATGAGTGGAGAGTATAGTGGTGGGAGGCAGCATGTGAAGCATAAACCTGAAGGGTTGAGGGATAAGGACTGAGCCATGATTGACCCCAGAGGATACTAATTTCAACCAAAAGGAAGTGCGGAATGAGTGAGGGAATGCTATCTCATCCAAATCTCAACAACTGTGTGTTACTGTTTAAAACAAACTGGATCATCTTGTTCACAAGTTCAGATCACTAAATCTGTAAGGTGTAGCTTTCCTCTACAAAATTTGTGCAAAGTGTTCAGAGATTTTTATCTATTATTACCATT